CGAGGCACGCCTGAGCCAAGCATTGGCCGCAAGTCCGCGGGCATGCTGATAGCGGTTTCGCCCTGCCTCCAGATTTTGGGGCTGCGGCCAACGTACTCCACGGAGTCGATCACGCAGGTCTTGCTCTTTGTGCAGCACGTGCTTGTGTACATGGTCCACGTGTCGTGGGTAGTGTACGACTTTGCTTGCGGAGTGGTCCGCCACATGCGCACGCAATGTCGCCAGCGTGCTGGGAAGCCGGAGGAGACTGAATGGCGGAGGATGGCCGGCCTCAGGTGGGTCATCGATAAGCTCCATTTTCAAGGCCACAAAGGTTGTCGAAACCCTACCTCTACGTGGTTCCTGCCGGATGTCAACCCTTATGCTGCTCGATTGGATATGGCAAGGCCTTGTTGTTTAACTAAGCGGTGTTTTTTCTCAGTGACCTGTTCTTTGACCTGCTGCTGTTCTTTCTCGTGCGCTGCTAGGCCCATACTGTGCTTCGTGGAGTTGACACCGAGGCCGCAGAGCAAGTGTTTCACATTGTGTCCAATTGGCAGGACAGCTTGTCCAGCGCCCACCCGGTTCACAATGAGCTGCTCTTGCTTGTCTTCAGTCACGAACACAATTCCCGGCACGAGTGCCAGCAGGCATGGGACACCTACCGCGGGCGGCAGAGCGCCCCGTCCACGGCACACGCTGCGCCTACATGCGGGGATGAGACCTGCAGCCAGCCTGTTGCTCCAGCAAAGCGAAGGCGCCAGCAAACAGAAGCAGCGAGGTGCTGTGACGCCTCTGGGGCTGAGGCTGCAGCGGCGCCAGTGCAGCCGGCAGAAGTCGCAGCGGTGCCACTGCAGCCAGTGGCTGCAGATCGTGGTTTTCTGGGCTGCGAGCGCGTGGTTGTGAACGCTGCCACCGGCACTGTGCACCGAGTGGACGCCACAGTCCCTGGCGCAGTTGCTGTTGGCTGTGGCTGGGTGCCTGACCCGCAGACCGGGAATCGCGCAACACGGACCGCGGACCTGCGGGGCCTCAACCTCAGCAGCTGTGGCACCTGCTTTGGGCAGCGCCTGCAACTTAACGTAGAAGACTAGCAGCTGGCAGCGAGCAACAGGAAAAAATATGCGCGGCTGTTGTTGCAACATGGCCGCCGCGCCCATGATCCAAGGTTCGCTCAGCTCTGCATTTACCCCGTACCCTGCCAGGCACCTGCGCGAGTCGTCCACAGCACGCACGGAGGCAAGGCCTGTCCGGCGAGGCGCGCTTGTCTTGGACGTGCTATCTACCAAGCGCATGCGTTTGTTCAACTGCGATGACGCGCGCTCTTGCCTCATTGCGAAGAATTCGCGCAGCGAACCAAAAGCTTGTCGTTCGTATACGAGCATGATGTGTATAGTTTATAGTGGCTACGACCACTTTCAAGGCCTGCGAAAGGCATCGTATGCAGCACACGACGACCACCTGGGCGCTTCCGCTCGCGACGCGGACGATAGCGCCGGCACTCTCGTTTGCAACGTGTAAAGCCGGTGTGTCCTCGGGCAGCACGTGGGGCTTCGCGTGTGCTGTTTGAGCCGAAGAAGTTCGACTGAGTGTCTTCGCTGTCGCGTCAGCCAGCAGCATGCTGAGACCCTGAGCGCAGTCGGATTGACCTTTTGGCGCCTGTGTGGTTGCAGATGGCTTAGGCAAGTCAAAGTACTTATCGGGGGCACTCAGAGGTATATGTTACGGTGGTTAATGGTTTGTTGTTCTGGGCTGTGAATAGTTACAGCTGGTTGTGGGTGGTTTCTGCGAGCACTTCGCCCGCCCGGTGCGGGACGCTTTCCAACAAGAAACTCACGCGCAATTCGTGCAAACGCAAGTCGCTTGCTTCTTTCAGCTTTGCGGTTCCAAGGGAAACAAACTGCAAACTTCAAAATGCAACGGGTTACTTGTTCACCCTTCGACGTGTCTAGAGTGCATGCACATATTGCAAATTGCCCCTTCAAGCCGAACAAGGAGGCAACTCTGCACCTTTGCGTTTGCAAAAAAAAACATAAAACCTTGTCACCGCTCCCCGCCAATCATAAACTTCAGACGCCTAGGTTTGGGAGGGGGGGGGCGGGGGGGCAATGAACCAATCAATCAATCTAACGTGCGAGATTGGTTGGTTGCTGGATTGATTCATTGATTGATTGACTGATTGATTGATTGATAGATTGATGGCTGGATTGATTGATTGATTGATTCATTGATTGAGTGATTGATTGATGCGGAGATCGTGCGTGTCGAAGCGCTCTCGCTGTGGCGCCGTGCGACTTTGTCTTGACCCCGGCGAACCCTCTGCGGAGATTGTGCGTGTCCAAGCGCTCTCACTGTGGCGCCGTGCGAATTTGTCTTGACCTCGGCGAACCCTCTGCGGAGAGCGTGCGTGTCGAAGCGCTCTCGCTGTGGCGCCGTGCGAATTTGTCTTGACCTCGGCGAACCCTCTGCGAAGATTGTGCGTGTCGAAGCGCTCTCGCTGTGGCGCCGTGCGAATTTGTTTTGGCCCCGGCGAACCCTCTGCGGAGATTGTGCGTGTCGAAGCGCTCTCACTGTGGCGCCGTGTGAATTTGTCTTAACCTCGGCGAACCCTATGCGGAGATCGTGCGTGTCGAAGCGCTCTCGCTGTGGCGCCGTGCGAATTTGTCCTGACCCCGGCGAACCCTCTGCGGAGATTGTGCGTGTCGAAGCGCTCTCACTGTGGCGCCGTGCGAATTTGTTTTGACCTCGGCGAACCCTCTGCGGAGATCGTGCGTGTCGAAGCGCTCTCGCTGTGGCGCCGTGCGAATTTGTTTTGACCTCGGCGAACCCTCTGCGGAGATCGTGCGTGTCGAAGCGCTCTCGCTGTGGCGCCGTGCGACTTTGTCTTGTCCCCGGCGAACCCTCTGGGGGGGCAGGGGGGGAGGGGGGAGCGGGGGGGGGGGGAATGAAACAATCAATCTAACGCACGAGCTTTTTTTTTTTTGAGGGGGGGGGGGGGGGGGAGGGCAAGGAATCAATCTAACGTACGAGCATTGGTTGTTTTTTTTTTTTTTGGGGGGGGACGGGGGGGCAATGAATCAATCAATCAATCTAACGTGCGAGATTGGTTGGTTGCTGGATTGATTCATTGATTGATTGACTGATTGATTGATTGATTGATTGTTTGCTGGATTGATTGATTGATTGATTCATTGATTGAGTGATTGATTGATGCGGAGATCGTGCGTGTCGAAGCGCTCTCGCTGTGGCGCCGTGCGACTTTGTCTTGACCCCGGCGAACCCTCTGCGGAGATTGTGCGTGTCCAAGCGCTCTCACTGTGGCGCCGTGCGAATTTGTCTTGACCTCGGCGAACCCTCTGCGGAGAGCGTGCGTGTCGAAGCGCTCTCGCTGTGGCGCCGTGCGAATTTGTCTTGACCTCGGCGAACCCTCTGCGAAGATTGTGCGTGTCGAAGCGCTCTCGCTGTGGCGCCGTGCGAATTTGTTTTGGCCCCGGCGAACCCTCTGCGGAGATTGTGCGTGTCGAAGCGCTCTCACTGTGGCGCCGTGTGAATTTGTCTTAACCTCGGCGAACCCTATGCGGAGATCGTGCGTGTCGAAGCGCTCTCGCTGTGGCGCCGTGCGAATTTGTCCTGACCCCGGCAAACCCTCTGCGGAGATTGTGCGTGTCGAAGCGCTCTCACTGTGGCGCCGTGCGAATTTGTCTTGACCTCGGCGAACCCTCTGCGGAGATCGTGCGTCTCGAAGCGCTCTCGCTGTGGCGCCGTGCGAATTTGTTTTGACCTCGGCGAACCCTCTGCGGAGATCGTGCGTGTCGAAGCGCTCTCGCTGTGGCGCCGTGCGACTTTGTCTTGTCCCCGGCGAACCCTCTGGGGGGGCAGGGGGGGAGGGGGGAGCGGGGGGGGGGGGGGGGGGGAATGAATCAATCAATCTAACGCACTAGATCGCACGAGCTTTTTTTTTTTGAGGGGGGGGGGGGGGGAGGGCAAGGAATCAATCTCAATCCAACGTACGAGCATTGGTTTTTTTTTTTTTTTTTGGGGGGGGGGGGGGGGGGGGGGCAATGGATCAATCAAACGGCGTGGGGCTCGTAATGCCCTGGAGTGATGATTTTCCTGTAAAAACCAACGAACAACGGCTTCCCATAGCTTCTCAGGTGGTGCGAAATGGATTCCGTCTATCCACGGCGGTCTTACTCGCCCTGGTCGGACCTGGACATACAAGGTGATCATCTTCTGATAAAAGAAAGAACAAACATAAAAACAAAAAAAAACGGGCCAAACAGAGGAAAACCCAAAGGTCAGATCCGGTCGATTCGCTTTGGACAAGTGGGTAGCCAGTGCCTGTAATGTTCACAACATATTAACCAACCCCAGTTTAGCAATAGGAAATGGTTCCCCTCCAAAAGTCATGATTCCCCACTAAACCCAGGGACACCCCGCCTATCAATACGCTGGGGTTGATTAATATGGGGTCAACCTTATATCCCATGTAACTCTCTGGGTGCTTTCAATGGAATGCGTCTGGGTGCTTTAGAACCAGACTAAGTCATGATAGGAGCAAACTCTTCATGTTGAGGTGGATGCCAACTCAATATTGCAAGTAAACCAGCCACAAATGGCTGAATTTCCAATTGAAACCAGGAGCAAAATCAAGGGCCCTTGGTGGTTGAGTTTATGTCTATCCTTCGCTCCCTAGATTGCCTTCCTTCTGGTGGGAGGGGAAAAACAAACATGACGCCTGAACGCTTTCTCGGGCAGCCCGGCTAGCATTCAACTGGCTGTCTCTTTTTTGGGAATCGGACCCACCATGGCGCACTGGTGTTCCTTGCATTTCAAGCCACCGAACAAAAATACCCCAACCGGTTTCGTAAAAGCAAAACAGAGAAACACACAGTGCCCTCCCCACAAACATGAGGTGGGGTTTCTATGGCGGGCAGGGGGCAAAAGCCAAATGAACAAACCAAGCACACACCAATAAGTTTCCCAAGAAACTAAGGAACATACACGAAGAGAACCTGCAATTAGCGGCCATGCACCAGACGGGCCTCCCTCGAAAAGTGATTTTTCTCCGCAAAAGGAATTGGACACCCCCCTATCAAAATGAAACTGGGGGTACCCTCTCCCATTAACGTGGCACTTGACAGGGACCCGGTCCCAAGATGTCCCAAGAGGAAACTGATCTTCCAGATGCCCCCCCTCAGGTGCCATGGCAACGCGGGAGGAAGGGGGCCCCTCCAATAACGCTGGGCTGTCCGTTTCAGATCCCCTGCTAAAAGTTTAACTTGTAGTGAATGAATACTGTGGGTGGACGAAATCCTGCACCACCTAACAAGCCCTGGAAGTTTGATTCCCCTGTAACTACCAACAAACGATATGGCTTCAACCATGCTTCAAAGTAGTGCGAAATGGATTTCGCGACCATCCACAGGCTAAGGCATCGGATGGCTGAGCCACCAAGCAAAAAGGCTCAAGGCCGGCGCCTGCATCTGCAGTTGCTCTTCCAACTGCCTCACGTGCTTCTCGCCTGCGGATCCAGGTAAGATCTGACTCCGCGCGGATTCGAAGCCGCGAAAACAAAACATGTAGCGCTGGAAGCCTGGCAGAAAAGGGGCACCTTTTTGGGGGAAGCCAGGAAACAGATCGCCTTCAGCCTTTTTGGGGGCCTTCTTGTTGGGGAAGCCGGCAAAAAGAAAGGGAACAGAGGCGCCACTGAACTGGGCGAAAGGAAACGCTCGCCGCGAGTCCAAAGGATCCGGACCGGCAAGGATCCCAGACCCTCATTGGCGAATTCGTCCCCTGGAAAAAGAAGGCCACATGATCAATGGCGATAGATCCCCCCTTTGCAAGTGGAAGAAAACGGAAACCGTTTCCAACAAGTTCAATCCTAGATTCAGTTTGCAACAAGTGCAACTCGGAGTTCCAACTCATTCCCGAGGGCCATGGTTGCCCATGACTTCCAAGGAATCCTTCCTAGATTCTCGAGGGGTAACCATTCAATATAGCAAGTAAAGCAACCATATGGAAAACCAATGAAGACATCAAAACAGAGTACGGCGGAGGGGCCCACAACAATGCAAGTAAATCAACCACAAACCATGGGAATTTGCAGGGTTATGTGTTGTTTACTCTGTAGAGTGCCTTTACTAAATAGGAGGATTTTGCCTTGGAGAACCGATCGGTTTGCCCAACACATATCAACCGAACAAAGCGGGTAATTGGAACGGGTAAGACACTCTACGATCCCCTGCTGACGTTTTCACTTGTCGTGGGCCAAATGCGCAAATACACATAAAAAACAACAAACACAAACACCAAATTTAGCAGTTTAAGCGGGTTAAATACCAAAACTACCACTAAACCAACAGGAAAAAAACAACAAAAACGAGAAACAACAAAAGCTAGCTAAGTTGAGCCGCACGCCTGGTTGGAGCCAAGTCTACCAGGGCCACCCAAAAAAAACAAAAACAAAAAACAACAAAAAAACACGCGGGTTTTCTCGCCTTCGCTGCGCTGCTGGCTGGTGGCGGCCAACTGGCGCAGGAGGTTCTGCACCAAGGTCTGGTCTGAGCTCAGCTGCTCCTGGCGACAACTGGGGCGAGGTGGGTGACGTCTGCGTTTTTGCAGGGGGGTTTGTCGCTTTTCCATGGGACGTCTCTGGGTCTTCTAGGGGTTGTGCTCTTGGTCCCAGGCAAAGAGTTGAAGAGTTCTCAACGCTTTTTTTCTCCAGCTTTACTTGCCATTCCTAACAAAGCAGCTGACAGGAGGTCTCTCCAAGTTGGGTCCAAGAAGCTCATCTTCCAGGTACCCTCCCCAAAAATGCATGCAAGCGCTATGCTAGTGGCAGGGAAGGGTAGGTTCTTCTTTATTTTTTCTCGGATACTGTTCATTTTGGGGGCTGCATAAACGACCAAAACTTGTTCCACTTCAAGGGTTGGAAAGAAGCCGTGCGATCGGTGCGAGAGATGTAGGGAATGAGAAATGGAAGGCCACTGGTGGTTTCCTGCATGGGAATCCTCAGGTTCATTCCGCCGTTTCCCTGAGCAGCAGCAAGTTTACCAGGCTTAACGTAGGTTTTGAGTGGACCGCAGATTTCAGTGCTTTTCATTTACCAAACCAACCCATTCTGGGGGCAGTCTTTTTTGTGAGCCGTACCCCCCGCCCCCCCATCAAAAGAATGGCCAGGGACCCAATTTGGAGGATGAAACTCCGGAAGGGATCATGGTGAAATATTCACCCAACATTTGGCCGTGGCTCAAATAAATGTACCAAAATGGCACCTTGATAAATGGAACCAAAGACTAAAACCCCGCGGTTTGCCCCAGCTCTTTATTTTTGAGCCGCACCCATTTGTTTTCGCGGTCCCAGCAAGATGGTAGCAAGGAAGATACCAGTGATGGTTGGGCAGGCAGATTCTCAGCACATCGAGAACTCCCTGTGTTCTGGACTGGTAGCTAAACTCCATACCATAGGTGCTCTTTTTTGGAGAATAGATGGCCCGAGAGACCTGGCTATAGTGATAAAACCTGGGTGTTGAAGGTGGCAAGTGAACTGCAGGCAATGGGAACCTTGGATCTAGAACCCGTCCAAATAGAAGTGTGCCCCATCCAGAACAAAGTGATTCTCCACTCAACTCAGGGACACGCCGGAATAATAAACTGTATTTCCTATCATGGTGTCCAGTACCCCCAAGCCGATATCCGAGCTCAGCGGCTATTTTGTGGCGGTATGTCCCATGAGACACCTGAGGTAGTGGTATGGTGGTGGAGGTCATCTTGGATAATGTTGACCCCGGGCTAATAAACCCCTGTTTATTAATATGGGGGTGTCCCTGGTTTGTAGTGGGAATCATCACTGTTGGAGGGGAACACCCCCATATTAATAAAAAGGGGTTTATTAATCCGGGGTCAACATTATTTGGTATTTGTGTGCGCCAAAGTTCTGGGGGCTGGGTTTAAAACCGCCCATCCCTTGGGCGCGCAAAGCCGAACACCCAACATTTGGCCCGCGCCTACAAAGGTGCATCCGGGCTTGCTCTTTCTCCATAAACCCAGGTAGAACCAGCTGGTTTAGAAGGGGTGGACGCTTTCTAAAAGGCGGATTCCTTCTCCTTGATTCTGTTCATCCATCTACAATTTGCACTAGAATTACCAAAAGATGAATTAAGGGATCCCCAAAATAAAGGACCTGTACCATGGTGAGTTCGTTGTACCCCCCTGTGAGCTCTTCATTTCCTTTCCGTGGTGTTCTTTTGGGAGGCTGTGTTGCTTTTTGTTGCACCCCGAGCCGATCTGCTTGGCACGAGAAGCCAAAACCTGAACAGCAGGCTAAACAATATTGGCTGGTGGGTGGATATGGGGAGCCATCTTACACATTTCCCCATCATCAGTTGAAAGAAGGCAGGTCACGTAGACCCAAGGTCACGAAACCTCGTGACTTGAAATTACAATGGACCTTGCAGCCAAAAAATCATCGCTTATTGACTGGTTGCCACATCGCCCAAGGATCTACCCAAAAAAACAGAAGGAGAATCATTCATAAGTTCCACGCCCTTTGTCGGCCCTGGTAGCTGCATGTTAGAGGAATCTCCGGCTTTTTGGATTTGATGCTTTCTTTCGTCGGGGAGGAGGGGGCTAGGACCGGGACCTGTGCCTCCCAGTGAGTCACAAGGCTCCTGCTGGACGAAAGGCATCCCCAAAACGAATCATGGGAATGGCCAATGGCCCCTAGGGGAACCACTAGTCATCAATAGTCACTGCTAGGCTGCTATGGCTTTTCTTGGAGCCCTGAAGCAGTGCATGCGCCATCCAAACTCCTCATGTGGGTGATGGGAACCCTTGCCTAGGGATTTAGACAACTCCTAATGTCAGACCCGCTGGTTGGGGTCGCTTTTTATGGAATGCTTTTTTCCATCCATCGCTGTGCGGTGTCAATCCGGAGTGGGTACTGGGACACGGGGACAGGCCTACCCCTGTCTGCATAGTGGGTGGAGTGACCCCTAATGGTTTTGGGAGATACTGTGAAACCCAAACTTAGTCAAGATAGGAGAAATGCGTAAAACATATTATGCCCCTTGTCTTTCCTGCCACGGATCTGTTTCCGTGGACGCCCCAGCTCTCGCGTTTTGGGACTTCGCCCGGTTGGTGTTGAAGATAGGGAAACCACCCAACTCGGCCTGCGTCTTGGCCTCGGCGGATTTCTCGCGTAGAAGCGCCTGAGCCACGGTGTGCCCAGTTTGTCTCCTATTTAAAGGGCCCCTTCAAACATACCTGGAATCTCCATGACCCTTAAAAAACGGGTCCATGACCCCCTCATTACCCATTTTAAAATGGTCATGCAGACTCCAGGTATAATGACCCCCAAAATAGCATTTGTTCTGGGGGGGTGTAAGGGAATTCCTGGGTTCATTCCCACATTCCCTGGGCGGGCCGGAGTAACCCGCACACCGGTCCTGCACTGAGTTGAGCGGCAAACAAAACGGGTCCTATGCGCTCGATCGGAAGTGAGATAAGAGGACAGAGGGAAGGTTTGGGAAACCAAAGGCGCAACCTTGCCGGGGCGATAGGTAGGCAATGTGGTTGAATGAGCCCAGGGATTCCTTTGATTCCTGATGGAAACCACCAGTTGGTTGTTGTTGTTTTTTTCCGCGGTCATTCCATGGATCTCATTCCCTGCGTGTCTCGCACTGGCAAGTAACCGGTTCGACTTGGCGTCGGCCATTATGGGAGGCGGGTGGGAGAGTTGCGAAATAGGAACGAACCTGACATAGGCATTAATGTGATTTCAAAGCCAGGCACAGGCAGAGCGTTTGGGGTCAAGGGGAAGGGTTGAACCTCCAAGGAAGACCCCCAAGGGCTCTTAGATGAGCAGCTGCGAAGTTCGTCTGCCCTGCTTTTCGGAACCTTCATGAGCGAGTCACAATCAGCAGAATATCCTTCACTCATTCCCTGCAGGGTGGAATTTCCTACACCCCGGGAGGTGTCCGGTCGCTTCGGCCAGCGAGGTTGGGAATCTGAGAGCCAAATTGCTAGTCCCGAACTCCTGGGAGCTCTGAAAGGCTCCTTGATATTTCAAGTGTGCCCCAGCTCCATAACGACTCCCTTCCAACAGCTGGGCAGGAAAATTGGCGCGCAGCAAATACCCCCCGAAAAACCAACGCGCAACCAATGGATTCGATATATCGATCGCGCTCAGGAGCCGAAATCCGAGCGATCCCTGCCTCCTGCGATGCTCGCGCGAGCTTTGCTTTTGCATCGCTCCTTGGCAAAACTTCTCTCCAGCTGTCGCGCGGACTCAAAGAGGATGAAACAAATGGGGGCGGCTTGTTAAAGAGGTATCTTTTGGGGGGTGGTTTTGAGGGCAACCAAAAGGACAACAGTCATGTTGGGGGGCCCAAGTCCAAGCCCCAATTTTGTCACATACCCATTTTTATAATATATATATATATTTATATTTATATTATATGCATATTCTGATATACAAACATTATGTCCCGTCTACGGGGAAGTGATGGAAACCCGAAAAGGCTTGCCATGGCCACCAGTCACTTTGGGTTAGTGTCCCTATTTATTGGTTTCCCTATCAAACAATTCACACATCGACGAGCCAGCCCTTACCCCGAAGGTTTCTTAAAAGGGAAGGCTCCGAATTTGCTTTCCCACAAGCAGCAGAGGGCCCAAATGCGGGGGGATACAACCCTCCGGTGTGGGAAAAACAAGAAACAAAGGAATCTTCTTTTCAACGGGGAGGCCAAAGGAACCCAATGGTTGCGCTTAGGCATACGGTTTGTTGGCGGCACTTTCGTCAAAAGCGAAGCTAGACGCAAATCGGACCAGGGCAAACTTTGCGGAGCTCCACAGATCGATCACATCTCCTATTTTGGGGGGTTTACTCTTAAGTAGTATAGTCCGGGGTCTGGTGCCAAAAATTCAATCCGATGGGTGCGCCAAACAAATCCGGCAACTCTTTCTTTGCAGTCCCGAACTTCAAGATGCAAAGAAAAATCATAGCTATGTACATGTACGTTGCTGTGAAAAGTTAAGCACCTTTGGTTGGTTCACCACACGAGAACTCTGGGAAGCTTGGGTTGGGAGGAGAAGGCCCGGGAAGCACAACAAAAAAACTGGCCAAACAAACCGCTGCTGTTGGCCTCTCTGCAACAAGTTTGACTGTTTAACTTTTTTGTGGACCGCTCACATTGCTTGGTTGCTGCTGGCCCCGCAACATGTTTACCTTTTCGTGGGCTGACTGGTGTAAAGCCCGGATTTCCGCAGTTAAAGTCCAAAGACCCAGCCAAACAGCCATAAAAAACGTTCCATTCCCAGGCCTGAAGCAAGGAGATCCGCAAGGGCAGCTCATCCAACCCGTCCGGTGGGACCCGCTCTCTGAGCCCGCGGCTTGGCAAGGCGCACGGCCTCCTCTTGGCTTTGCAGCTGCGTCCTGCGAAGCATCCGGCTGCGACTGCCATCCCAGACGCGGGGCTCTGCAGGAATCTGCGAGAAAAAAAGCCGCGCCATGGGTGGTGCCTATTTTGGGTTTGATATAACAAAAGTGACTGGGTTCCCAGTTGGGCTAGTGGTTAGCCATGATCTGCCAGCTCTTTGCCGCGAGATGCTTTCAGCAAAGGTCATAATAAGGCTGGTTTTGGGTTGGATCGTTTGCGCTCGGCAAGGGGCTGGTACCCAGGCAACAAGCAGATTGCTCTTTGCGCGACAGGCCGCGCTCTTGCATCATTGGCCTCGCAAAGGCCCGGGTGGCTCCGCCGAATTGAAGACCGTGAAGATGGCAACCAAACCACTTAAAAGTTCAACGTCAGGCTCCACTCTACCTTCTACGTTAACCATCCCAGTGCAAGACAAACCAGCAAAAACGTGCGACTTTTCGCTGGCCCGAACCTGGAGTGCGAAGACAAGACATGTTTTTCACCAACAGCTGAAAGCTTTGGGACTGGTTCTGAGAGGGCTGCGGGGGTCCGGGGCACACAAGAGTCCGAGCGCGTGACTCATAGCGCGGCTGACAGCGACGCTGCTGACGCGCGTCACCTGTTTGCAACTTGCCCAGCGCGCGCGCAGACAGCTCGCCCAAGCTGGACAAACAAGTGGGCAACTTGCGTTGGCTTTAGACCCCTGGAAAGAATAAAGACTTGTCCAGAAGACAGAGGTTCCCTTCGAAAACCAACCAAAGGGACATAGAACATATTTTCATCTCTACTCTTGGTATGGTGGCAAAAAACTTTGTTTTGTGCAGACCCCCAATAAAAATGAACAAAACCAAAAACTAAAAAACCAAAACACATGCCAAGAACAGTGAAGTTTTGCTTCCTGGAAGGCACGCAAGCTGGTTCCTGCGATCTGTCTCTCCTCTTTCCGTGGTACGCCAGGCTCGGTGCAGGGGAACAGGCGACGTCAACCTTCTTGCACCAAGAACGCCTATGGCGTTTGCAAATCCCACAGCCCACTTGGCACTTCCTTCCCAGTCTCAGTTGCCCCCTAGGGACTCTTCACTAAAAATAGACCAACATGGGCAAACCAAAAGGTTGAAAGGTTGGCTTTGGGGAGTTCATGCCCCTTCAACAGCCTCTATCGCGGCACCTTGCGACCTTGTGGGGGTTGCGCAAAGGGAAACCTGGGCTTGGAACTTTGTTCTGTGGAGGGTATGATGTGGAAGACCCATTTCCTTAAGGGCCCCCTGTCAGGTAGCATGTTAGCTGGAAGGGCATCCCTTTGAGCTCACGTTTGGCATGTTTCAGCCCTTGGGGCTTCAAGGGGCACTTAAAATGGGCCAAACCAAAACAACCGGTAAAACATGTCTCCCTTGTTGTGCAGCTTTGAAATGAAACCACAGCACAACGAATCATTTTGAGGGGGCCCTCCAAAAAAACACGCCCACATGTTTGACGCCAGGTTAGTCAAAGGATAATTGCCCAATGTTGTTTAAAGGGAATCGATCACTCCCGGACATATATATATTTTTTCCCCGCGGGACTTGAGTAAACAAGTGGATGGTGACCAGTCGTTCCCCTTTTTGCTGCAATTGAGGAAGACAAAACGCAGGCTGTGTGTCGGTTTAAACATCTGGTTTGTCTTTTGCGCAAACGGTTCAGTTGTGAACCTAGAAGGTGAAGCATACAGAATTCCTCCGAGGACTCCCCAACTCTGGACGGATCAAAAAAGCAAATCCTTTGAGCCGGTGGATCTTCCAGCCGGCGGAACTCACCTCAGTTGTTCAGTGACCCTGGAGAAAAAAGGGAACCCTTTTTTGGGAAGACCATCTTTAGTGGGGCAGCCACAAAAAAAAGAAGGAAAAAACATTGGCGCCACTGAACAACTGAGTCACGGAACCAGCCATTTTTGAGTGTCTCAAGCTCTGAAAGCCGCATTTCTGGCATGGCCCGGGCCCTACGCCTTCTTCCCGAACAGGGCTCCCTAGATTTCCCCTAACGCACCCCCAAGGGATGCTCACCTTTCATTGGCAAAAAAGGTGATGTTTAAAACCCAAAAAGGGAAATATAGGGATGGCTGCACCAAACTTCTCAAAACAGGATTCCGTGCAACTGGAGTTCGGGAGAGCGGGCCTCACCCATACCTATAGCTCCCTTGCACGAGACTCTAGATGAGTTTTTTTCGGTCTTGGTTTCGGTTCTATCAGGGCTTCCTCCATCTCCCCTTTTGGATCCAAAAACAATCGTTTCCATGCACATCACCAAATTGCAACCCCTGAATAAATTGCGTCAGGTGCAGTGCGGTGTTACCCATTTTCTTGACATGTCAACATCTGCACCATGCCTGCTTGAGCTGGAAAAAACGCCACTCAATCAAGGAATCGGGAAGGCGTGTGCATGCCTGTGCCCTACTCTCGCGCTTGTTGGCAAGGCTCAAGTAAATCAATCGAAGCAAACAAGCCCCAAAACACAAGGATGGTAACCCCCCCCCCAAAAAAAAAAAAAAACACGTGCAAACAAACAGCCACACATGTTGAGACCATGCCCTCCAACAGGTGCTGGAGCGTTTCTGTGAGTCCTCAATTCACGGCGTAGGCCTTTTGCGCGGGCCTAACCAATGCCCAAAGCTCTTGTTCTCTAATTTGAGCGATTCAAATACCGAAGGCCAAGGTACGGGATGGATGATTCTTTTCTCCGAAGCTTGTGGAATTGTTAAAAAGTCGAGACCCGAGGTGCAGAGGGAGATGCTTCAAATGACATACATACAGCGAACCCAGGCCCAAGCGCAGCATCTCATAGCATCTCCCGTTTTTCCCTCATGATGGAAGGGCACCCGTGGTCGCTCCATGTGCAGTAATGAAAAACTCATCGTCTTTTCTCTGACAGTTCATCTGCTAACTGGGAGCCCTTTCGGAGGTGGTACAGGACTGAAACCGGCATAAGACTTTGACCCGGTCTTCCAGGTCAAGTGACTCACCTCCAACTCCGGGATTGAGAAAAGGACGCCTACCCTCTTTCCGACCATACAAAGTGGACAGGCGGATTTTCCAAAAGGCGAGCACCCTTCCGCCAACAAACGTAGCACCTGGAATGCACCAGAAAAATAATTATTTTCCTCTTAAAGGAACCTTCTGTGAGGTGCTACGTTAGTGGAAGGGAAGGTAGTCTTCCAAGACTCTCCGATCGTCAGCTTCTATGCTTATCTCTGTTGCTCAAGGGACTCAGGAATTACATGTTCACTGGGCCAGTGACTGAAAATGGTTTCCAAGAAAAGGGGCTCAAAAGTGAGAGATCCAGTCGATTCGCTTTGGTTGCGAGCGACTTGGGAGCCTCCCAAAGACTAGCCCCCCATACAAAAAGGGGGGTCCCTTGTATCACAGAAGTGGGGATGTCCTTCCTCTCACTATCTTGGCACCTGTGGGGAGGCACCTGGAAGATCAGCTTCCTCTAGGGACCGCCATGGCAACGTGGGAGAGAGGGAAAACCCCGAGTGCTCCCACGACTACTCCGGTGATGAACTCTATACCCCAAATGAGGGGCCCACTTGAAACAAGTGAGTCTGGTAAGCCTCCATTTGCCTAAGTCCTCCGGAAAAAAAAGACAATATTTCCAGTAGACATACATACCCTTCGAAACCAACAGCAGAAAATAAAGAATATTCTTAGCCAAATGGAAGCAAAGGAATTGGGCTATGACTGGGGGCTTTCATTTGCTTAAGCCCCCTGGAAAAATATTTCAGTAGTGAAATCGAGTCCCTTTAAAGCCAAGAAGGACAAATAAAACATAGTCTTAAGACTTCTTAAGCACATAGAAGGGGAGGAAATGCGAAAACCAGGTCTTCACCTCGGAAAAAAGCAGCGTCCTGAGATCGGCCTCCTTCTTGCGTGCTTCCTGGCTCGGGCAGCGAAACCTTGTTTGTCTAGCCTGCTTGACATGGAGCCCCCCCCCACCCACAAAAAAATCAAAAAACAAAAACATAACAACAGACATAGCACCTGTGGGAGGGTACCTGGAAGATGATTTTCCTGTCGGGAGTAGCCTGTGGCAGCTGCCGTGCTAGTGGGAGGGAAGGGGGGACGCTTTCAAGGATTGGTTCAGCTGGCTTGGATGCGGTCAGCATGAAGACCGTGCAGGTGTCTCTCAGAATCTCGCAATATCATTACACAATCCGCCGTGTCATCAGCCATTGCATTTCCACCCGCGACAACATTGTCATGGACTACAGCCCAAAACCAGCATGGTTCTCATCAACATTATCGCTACTTCACCACTCCCCACCTAAAAGGTTTAACTTTTTGTGGGTTAGATGGATAACACAACTAAACCCTAAACAACCTAGAACCTAAGGGGACGGCTGGGAACCAAAACCATCATCACCGGCATCACCAGCACCATCAGCACAATCAGCATCATCGCTGGCACCATCAGCATCATCTTGCACCATCGGTTTACCATCATTTTGTATGTAATTTCATCCTGCCTACTTCATTACAATCATCATCATCATCATCATCATCATCATCATCATCATCATCATCATCATCATCATCATAATCATCACCATCATGAATTGTAGACAATGGCCCTATCAGAAAAAGGGGACATGTTGTTGTTGTTTTTTGCTTGCTCTCTCCAGCATTGCGGCCAAGGGACAACTCAGCGCGGGACCTACTCTTGGAACTGACCATTGTGAGTTGGACACCCATTCAGATGTAGCACTGCGGAACATCCAAAAGGGAACCTCAGAAATGTTGAGTTGAACTTTACTCCAAATTTGTGGATAAGGGACACCCACTAACACCCATTCAGCTGAAAGGTGGGCGAAAAGCGCCGATCAGCTGCCTCGAGCTTGCCGTGCAGCCACTGGATCTGACCTGCCAACTCGTCCCAAAGCGTCAGCCAGCCGGGACCCTGGTATTGCCTGGGGTCATACCCCCAACCTCTGGCGTTTATGGGACAGCCGCTTTGGGAAGCCGATTCCTTCTGGTTTGGACATTTTTCGAAGACGGGTGCCAGTTGGAAATTACTTGCTGGTGCGATCAGGGAATGTGGGAATGACCCCTCACTAGTGGTTTCCTTTCAGGGAACCAATTCCTGGCTTCATTCCCTCATTCCCTTCCTATCGCACCAGCAATCTCTTCTCACAATCGCCAAAGGGGGGGCCCGGAGGTTTCCCAACGGGCGCTTTCTTTGAGCCTTGACAAGCAGTGCTACAAGCACCGCACATTTCAGCACGCTTCCTGCCAATCCCGGTGCTTTGGGGCGTTGGTGGCGGGGTAAACCCCATTTACCCCCAAGAGCCAGAGGTTCCAATCCTTGGTTGCAACGCCCCCCCTGCAAAAAAAAGTCGACCACTTACTTCTTGGGGGGCTTAGTGTTGAAGACACAACTTGATTTCAACCAGCCGCCTGGAGGGATTTGAACCCGCCCGACTTGGGTGGTGCGGTTAGGTCTTATACTGCGCGAGCAAGAAAAACCGTTGCTCTATACCATTGCCTAACTTGATTTCAACCAAAGAGGCGAAAAGATCCAATGTAGTGGGTTAATTACATGGAAACTACCACTAAACACTAAGAAGCAAAAGGCCTAAAGGCAAAAAGCCAAAAACCGATCCGTTGCCCAGCAGTCAAACGATCCAAATTTCACCGATCCGGGCCCGATGGCCAAAAGACCTTCCCGGGCCGAGGCCGACGCTCAGAACCCAAAAACCGAGAAAAAAAACTCGGCTGGGCTTGGCACCGGGGGATGGGGCAAGAGTTTGCCGGTGTCTTCTTCCAGTTGCTCAAGTTTTCCGGGAAAATAACGCGATTTCCGGTAGCCCTTTTGCTTTTGGCGTCCCCCTGTTCACAAGTTTGGGCTGGAAAGGTTCGCCAGTCGGCAGGGCCCGGAATTGGTTGAAATGAGTCTGACGGTGTCCCGTTCCAACCAAAAGGGTTCTCGCAAAACAAAAGCCCACTTGCTGAGTGGATGGCCCCAAAAAGTCCAAACTTTCTACTCACCACTAAAATGGTCTTCCGAAAAAGTTTAAAGTTCATGAACTCAGGAAGTGAGAAAAGGACGCACCCAAATTGTTGGTTCCCTTTGGCAATCGCATGTTTCTTCTCGTCGCCCTTGTGGCGCGGGAGTTGTTTTTTTTCTCGGAGGGCGAAAAAACCCAATCTGAGACAACGAAGCTCGAAGTCGCCTACGCCCGGGCGAAACCCCTACCCCGGACAAATCAACCCGTCCGAAGGGGGAGGCGTTGCCTCCGAAAGTGAGGAACCCCCACCGGAAGGAACTGGACGCCGACGGAAACATCAAGTTCCACTTAGATCCGGGGACGGATTCTGCCGAGCTCTGCGGGAATTGGGCTCTTGGAAAGCCATTCCTTTCTATTGCTAGGTCCAGTAGACAGGTTGGAATAAGGGTGCCGTTTCTTTTTTCTGTAAGCCTCCCCCAAAATAGTTGGTAAAAGGGCACTACGGGGGGACCTAGATTCATTGAGGGGTGGGTGTGGGGGGGGGGAGTTTGCCTGTGTTAATTGAAACGGACGATCCCTCCACCCGGGAAGCGGCAAAGGGGAAGCCACTATCTTGCAGATTGATTTGACACCTTGGAATCGATTTCCCGGAGGGCTGCGGGTCCATTGGATGACCCCCCACTTACTAGGTATTGTTCATACTCGCTCTTAATCATTCTCTCAGTGTTCAACCTGCTTTTGTTGATCCCAGATGTTCCCATCATCAGTGGTCCAGATCCCACTAAACCAGGGCCCCCCTATTAATATATAAGTAACAGGGGTTTATTTAATCCAGGGTTGGCATTAGGCAACTTATTGGCTGGGCATAATGGGCACCCCGGATTAACTGGTTCATGAATAGAGGGGTGTCCCCTTTCAGTGGGATGCTTCACTTTTGGAGGGAACACCCCCCTCATCATGGGACGGGTTTATTCATCCTGGGTCAACATTACTCCTCCCATTTCCTAGCGGAGTTGACTTGAAACTTCCATTTGCTTAAGCCGCCTGGAAGAAACACATATTTCCAGTAGTTAAAGTCGATTCCCTTTAAACCCAAGAAATTTGGAAATAGCAAATATGCATTTCCGCAAATCCCTTGCGCCAGCTTCGGCGACCGGGCACATCCCTTGCGCCTTCCTTCTGCGCCAGCTTCTGCTCCTGGAGAGGCCCCAGAAACAGAGAAGCACGCGAGAAATCCCCGTGACTTGTGGGGTAGGGAGGGAAGGGAGGGGGAGGGAGCCCAAACAAGCACAACAAAATAAGGGCTTAATATGCACTTAATATTTTTCTAAAGCTCCCTCCCCCCTCCCCTCCCTCCCCCCCCAGCCCCCATGAATGACTCAACCTCTCGAAATATTCTGCCTTGTTTGCATCAAATTATTGAATCCGGGCTCTTGCCACCCTTTGTTTGTGGCTTTAAAACGGGACACCAACAGGAAAGTAAATCGATTTTAGCGGGTCCCCTAAAAACAGACACATCCATACCTTCGATGGGTGCGAAATCCTTGTCGCACCACCTAAGAAACCCAACGAAATGATTCGATTCCCCCTGTAATGCCAAGGTTTCCTTCCCATGGTTTCATTTCGTGGCGCGTGGAACCCACGGATTTCGCAACCATCCACAGCCTGGACGTCCAAAACCAGCGAGATCCCCAGGACGGGGCCATCGCATTGAAATGAGCTCGCAACATGTGACTAACTTGAGGGTTACATGCGGGAACTACCCAGCAAAAAACACGGCTAAAAGTTGAACTGTTAGTGGGCTGAGTTACTGAAACTGCCACGAAACCCAGCAAAAACCACCAAACAGCCAAGGAACCGCACTGGGAGCCACCAAGTCTTGAGGGTTCCGTCGCCACAGTCCTGGGATTCCCGCCCGAGGGCATGAGATTCAAAAGAAATCGCCGCCTGGGAACGGCTCCCTGAAAAATCAGAGCTCCTCAAGAGGGGGAAGCTGAAATGCAGTGGATGGTTGCGCGCAATCCGCTTCTCGCACCACCGAAATGACACCATGGTTGAAAAACATGATTTCGGTTCCTTATATTGCCAATGGCCATGGTTCCCGACAGTGGTTAATCCGCCGACCCTCTGCCTCCCGTCCCAGCCTCCTGCAGAGGGGACCGGCGTGGGATGCAACTGGAAGTGATTGGAATCAATGATGGTCACGCCCGAACGCACGAAAAGTTGGTTTCCAGGACCGGTCCCGGGACCGGTCCCGGGACCGGTCCTGGGACCAGTCCTGGGACTTCTGTTGTTTCAGATTTCTTGTCGTCACTTCTGGGACCAGTCCTGCAACCGGTCCTGGGACTGGTCAACCCGGTCCTGGGACCAGTTTTGGGACTGGGGGCAGGACCGCTTTCAGGACGCCGGTCCCGGATCGAGTCCTGGTCGCTGGCACTTCAAACTGCTGTGATGCCACCTCAAACCGCTCCAGACACCTTTCCGGACTGGCACCCGTGTTTCAGGACACTGGACAGGGTCGCAGGTCCCAGTCACTTTCTGCGGGCACCGACGGCCTTGTTTCTAGGACCAGCTCAACGTGACTTGGGCACAAACCGGCCCGTGCGGAAAGGGGACCAATAGGAGACCAGCCTGGACAGGGTCCCAAGTCCCGGTCCCTGCCGGCGACCGGTCCAGGGCAACTTCGGGAGGGCCAGTTTCAGGGCGACCCCGGGAGAGGCGACTGCTCCCGAAGTGACTTGGGCGCAAGCCGGCCCAAGCGGTAATTAACGGACTAGCTGCCATATTTCTGGCTTTTCCGTTAATCCTTCTTTGTGGTCGTAGAGGGTCTTATAAGTGGTCCCTGGGATTGCGGACGTGTTTCAGGACCGGTCCTTGTGACTTTTCCCTTAATGCGCCGAGGGTCGGCGGCAGCAGGCGGGAGCCTGGTTAATAGAGATCAAAGAAACCGGTCTCAACAGACCATGGCACGTATCTGAAATAAGAATTGGACCCCCAAGTTAAGGACCTTTACCATGGCTTTCGCTCGTTTTACCCCTGGATCGGTGAGCTCGCCGTAAATTATGCAGACAGTATGATATTATTTCCAGCCGGTCATAACACAACAACCCAGTCGCCCAAGCGTGTAGACAGAACAGGGCCGCAAATGGGGCTTCGAGAGAGACACTGTACGGGAACGGGGCATCCTGAAAATGACGCTCCAGGCAGTTTAAAGGGAAGCCACCTTCAACAGTTGCCCCCGTGAACTTACCATCAAAGTCACCCCTCAAGTAGTGAACAACCCCTGCTTCTCAGCTTCTCTCTAATTGGTGGGTTTTCAGGTGTTCCGGTGGGAAACCTCATTTACCCACAAGAAATAGGGACTCGAAATCCAAATCTAAACCTTTCGAGGGGGAAATGGAGTTTACGACTTTCCTCTACAAGTTAGTAAAGCAGTTTGCAAGCAAGAGTGTATCCTACTCAGGAGGGAGTTGGGCCCTCCAAAAGTGAACCCCCGACTAAAACCAGGGACACCCCCAAATGGATACACTGGGGTTTTGTTTAATCCTGTGCTTCCATTTTTTAAGGGTGCCCCCAAAATCGGCTTCAGGCGTCACTTGGGTGCGTCTTTTCCAGGGTGGCCTTTGCTCCGGCGAGAAAGGTTTACCTTGGCCGAAGCTTCGTGATGAGGCGTTCGCTGCGTCAATCTCAAATGCCCTTGCATGAGAGGATTCCTCGACGCCAAAGGAAAACATTTCTCCTTGCGGTGCCACTTGCTACTGTGGATGGACGAGATCCATTTCGCACCAGCTAAGAAACCCAACGGAATGATTCGATTCACGTGCGATTCCCAAGGAAGAAATGTTTCCCATGGTTTCAAAGTGGTGCGAAATGGATTGTCCATCCACAGAGTGACCGAGCATCTTAACACTGAAAAGCTTTCAGGGACTTGTGCGTACGGTGAACATTCGAAATAGGAAGCAAGTAGGAAAGAAGTCGATCGCCCTGTATTTTACCGTGATTCCTGGCTGGCGCACTTGCTTGCAGCAAGAAACTCAGTTCAGACAAGTAGAACCCTGGCATCCACTAGGTCCTCCACCTCCAGTAGAGAGGTTGGAATGGTACCCTTTTTCCTGTATTTTAGTAGGGGAACCCTCCCAACCAGAAAAGGTTCAAGAGGGCACCTAGCGGGGGACCCAAGTCGAGCCCTGTAGACATCACAGTCAGCTCGCTGCACCGCGCGTCCTCCTCCGCCAGCTTCTGATCCCTCTCCGCGAGCTGTTGGTCCTCTTCCGCCAGCTTCTGGTCCTCTTCTTCCAGCTTCTGGCTCCGACCTAGGGGCGCTCACCGGAAATTTCAACTTCTTTGGTTTTGGGTGCCCAAAGTGGAGACTTTTACCTGAAATCTCCTTCTCTGTTTTGGGTGCCCAGAGTGGAGCTGAAATGCTTTTTTGGCTTTGGGTGCCCAAACTGGGGGAATTTTGGAGGGTACCAACTTTTTTTGGGGTGGGTTGAAGGGAACAACCCAAATTCTATTTGACGCATGCCCGCCAACTTGTTTGAGACCAAACCTAACAAACGGCAATCACTTGACATACGGTTTGTTTTCTTTAGGCGCCCCCCTACAAAACGGGAATCCTTTCAAATCCATAAACAAAGCCCCCTCAAAAAGAGACGCACAAAATCATATTGGAGAGTTAGGCAAGTCCTTGGACCTGGCGAAGAAGCTACACCCCCTTTTTACCGCGTCAGCTACGACCCGAAGACTCCCCTAGCCCCTCGTGTTTGTCTGTTCTCTGTGAGTTTCTGTGACCTAAACTCTTTCAACTCGCCTGCGCGTGTGCGCCAAATGATTACACCACTAACCGCCTCAGAGGAGAAAAACAACACAAACTGCGGGCACTACACGCCGCGCCATTGCGTCTGCCAAAAAAAGCAAACCCCAAACCGCGTGATCTGCGACCCGGGCGGCTTTAGGATCACAAGTAAGGCGAGTGCCCTTGTACAATCGTAAGTGCCCCTGGCTATGTCTCAGTTTCCCAGTTCGGACCCAGACATAAAAGGTGATCTTTGGGAAGATCTACGCAAAGTGGACCTTAACATGGAACCATATGGAAAACCGGAGCCGGTCGAATCCTGAATGAAGCTGTAAAGCTGTAAGCAGCGCCCGAAATTGAAGTGAAACTGTGAGCTACGGCTGGGGTTTCTGCCTCCCCCAAATCTTAAAGCCAAGCACTCGAACCAAGGTACTTCTGATTGGTAGTCATCACACCGATGCTGTGGAGGGATAAAAGAATCGGTGCAAAATGTATGTGGTCCAAGTGTGAGCCACTCAAATCGCAATACTTCAACACTGGGGCAAACAGAAGAGCGTCGTCCTGAAGCAAGCATACCTCATCCACCTGATGGAATCAACAACGATTCCTTTCCATCATGTGTGGTAAAGGTTCATGTGAGGTCCCGGGCTTGCCTCATCATAGGGGAACTCCCCAACAAGGTGGTTTTCTCTTGGTTTCCCTTTAAAACCATCCAAGCAGTGTGCTTAAAAATTAAAAGGACAAGGCCCAGGTAGGCCTCACTTCAGCCGGCGGAACCTGTCCGGGGCGCCGCTCGAGGACACCTGGTATTCAAGCAGTCCAACTTCCCAAAACTATGTGAAACGAAATAAAAACAACAAAGCCAATTGAAAGGCCAACGGAAAACTCTTAGACTGACAAAACCATCTAAAAACAACTAGAACCAGCTGAAGCCAACTAAATAAACAAAAACCAAAAAACTGCTCGTCTGACTAAACCATCCAAAATCAACAACAGCAACAAACTAGAAACCAACTATAGACTTATAATTTGGCCAAGCCATCCCCAAATAAAACACACACAAAAAAAGAACATCCAAACAAAACCAGAGACCCTCGCACAACTTTTTTTCGTTGGGCGAACTGAAGCAGCTGATTTCATGTGGTGTCGGGTTGAGTGGTTTTTGGCTTGGCGCGGTTCCTTCTTTTCAGGTACCCCTTTTGGTTTGTTTAGCGAAACCGAAGAAAACCCCACACTTTGGGGGTCCCCTGTTGAAGCCTCATCCATGTTTCCCCTTTTTTTTGTGGGCTCGGGACCCTCTAAGACCTAAACTGGTTCATGCCGCATGCCGAGCCACTCACGAGCTGATTTCAAGAAACCCGGCCGGGCGAGCGAAGCGTGGCCACGCTGAGCGCAACCGAAGGCTCCCCCGGCGCCACGGGTCCCCGGCTGAGCGTGGCGAGGCGCAGGGACCGCAGGGCGCGGGTGTCGCTGGCGCCGGTGGCGCGGAGCGCAGAGGCGTCGGTCTGCAGCCTGCGGACCGCAGAAACCGCCCCTTGCAGGAGCAAATGTTGTACCTGGAGTCTCCATGACCCTTTTAAAACATAGGGCCATGACCCCCTTGATTTTTGGTAATGACCCCATGTTTTAAGGGTCCTGGAGACTCCAGGTAGTGTTTTCTTGTTGTTCCTTCATTGTTTTGTGTGTGTTTCGTTTTCTTGCTCCTTCATGATGTTCAAGTTGAGAAGTGAACAAGTTTTTAAAGTTGGCGGCCAACACGCCTCCCAAAAAAAAACAGAACCTCAGGAAGCTTTGCTGTAGGTAATCCCCCTAGGTTTTCGGAGCTCGCGAAGCTTTGCTGTAGGTTGCCATTTTTACCCTGAAAGTCCGGGGGGGGGGAGGGTTTTGGGTTTTTCCCTAGCTTTCCCCTAGGTTCTTGGAGAAAGCCCAACAGGTTCATACCCAAAAAAGACACACCGAAAAAAGGGCGCACAGAGACAAAGGGGTTCTGTGGAACCAGCGGATCGTCTGGTTTTTTGGTTGTAGTGGTTTTAGTTGGTTGCGTGGGTGGTCGAAACTAAGCAGGTTTTAGTGGTTGTCGCGTTCACGTAAAAACCCGGGTTAAAAAGGAACCAACCAGCCAGTTGATTGTGGTTTTGAAGAGAAATAGACATCCTTCCGAACCGAAAACTTGTGAAACTACCGGGGAATCCAGTTCTACCATGGCGCTTGCTCGTTTTACCCCCGGATCGGTGAGGTCTGCGCCGGTCATAGCGCAGCAACCCAGTCGCCCAAGCGTGCACGGAGGCCGAAGTGAGTGAGGACCCTGATGTCTTCACTATATCCTTCTCCTCCCCACCCGAGCCCCTGGGGTCCACTGGAAGGAGAAGGGGTCCCAGGAATACCACCAGCCAGCGACCAGCCAGCCTACCAACCTAGCGGTGGCAGGCCGGGCAATAGCGCCGGAAATCGCTATTCTCATCATTGCTGCCACACTGAGTCGCTGCCCCAGCTCCGAGCCGCGATGTCCCCCGTCGCCGTGTGGCATGTACGACAAAACATGGCCGCAAATTGGGGGAGCTTCCTGAAAATGACTCTCCCAGCAGTTTGAAGGCCGTTATTTTATTCTCAAAGTCACCCCTCAATTGTTAGCTTGAGGTGAACAACCCCTGTTTCTCAGCTTCCCTCTAATTGGTGAGCTTGGGTGTGCTTCGGTTGGAAACCCCATTTACCCTCAACAACTAGGGATCTGTAATCCAATCCAAACCCTTGAGAGGGACTTGAGTTTCCAGCTTTAGCCCTACTTGGGTGGTTAGTAAGTGTTTAGCAACCTAGGATATATCCTACTCATGAGTGAGTTGGGCGGGTTGTATGTAGGTTATAAGCTAGGTTACTAAGCACCTACCAACTTGGCCGAACCTCCAAGCAATGGGACCCCTTTTATCATGTTTATCTATATTTCAGCCTGTTGCTTGATTCCCCTTGAAAACGAGAACGTACTGTGGACGAAAATCCCGCACTACCTAAAAAATATGGAATGATGATCACCTCCAAAAACAACCGGGGAACACAAACCAACCCTACTGTGGGTGGACGAAATCCTGCACCACCTAAGAAGCCCTGGAATTATGATTCCCCTGTAAAAACCAACAAACAATATGGTTTCAACTATGCTTCAAAGTGGTGCGAAATGGATTTTGTCCATCCACAGTATGTTTGCATATCTTGCCTCCAAAAGCCACCGGGGAAAACAAACCAAGCCTATGTTTGGCAACTTCCGTGTGTGCAATCCCAGGGTGCAATAATGTGCAATACTCACTTGCCCACAAGACCTGGCAATAGAAGGTGATCACCTTTTGGGACCTTTACTAAAAATGGACCAAAATGGGACAACCAAAAGGTCAAAAGATCGATTCGCTTTGGGCTCACGTGAGAATAGGACAGCCGATCGAGCCGGAAGCTCCGTTCTCCATTCGGCTAAGGCGAGGGGCGCGCTGCTGAGCTTCCTTGCGGTGGCATGGACGGCCTGACAAGCTCCAGCCAGCCGTCAGAAACCGGTTTCGGACGTTTCTTAGGCCGAGGTCGGGTAAGAACGGCAAGGTCAAGAGGCAAGTCTAAGATGGGTTCACTACCCCCAAACCACTGCCCCCAGAGGAATATACATTTTATATAGTAACTATATAGTGGGGGTAGTGGAAATCAGCTTAGATCAAACGACCCGAGGTAAAAGGTATGTGGGGCCCTAGAAAATGGAGTTCTTCCTTCACCAAAAGCGGCCCCCCCAAATAAAGAGCCACAGACATGTAGGAATACCCCTACTTAAATGTGCCAGATAGCCTATCTGCTTTACCTCTGGCAACCCATGAAATATCTAGGCCATGGCCGGCTTTGGCAAAGTTGCGGCAAAGGGCACCCTGTGATTTCCAGGCGGGACGTGCCCTTTGCTTGCTTGGTTGCTTGGATGCTTGACTAGGTCCAGTAGAGAGGTCAGAATAAGTTGGTACCCCCTTTTTTTTCCTGGTCTATTTCGTCAGGGAACCGAATCTCCCAACCAAAAAAGAATCGGTGAGAAAGGGCACCGATCGCGGGGGGAGCCTCGTTGATTGCCTGGGTTGGGCAGCCCTTCGTTAGGATCTCGCCGGAGTCTGGGGGGCACGTGTCTCACTCCCTCAGAGCTAACCGCCAGCTCCAAGTGGCCTCGGTTTTCTGGAAGCAAGTCTGGTCCCTCCCAGGGACCCCAAGGTGTTTGGGGGTCTCAAGACCTGGCTGTTTGAGGGCCATTTTTAATTCACAGGCCTCTGGGTACCAAAACCACCAAGAAGACACAAATATGCACACAAAGGGCTTCCCAAAGAACCCCCCCCCCACCCTTTTCTGGGTTGTCCCGTTTTCAGATCCCCAGCCAAATATGACTGACTTTTAGTGGGTGACATGCAAATCCAAACAATTCACGCTAAAAGGCGAAAAAAGGTAAGGAACCGGATGGCTGGGAGCCACCAAGTTTTCGAAGGAGGAGATTCCAACTTGTATCACGGAAGTGGTGGGATCAACCCCGACTCCCAGAACCCTGGGCTCCCTTGGAAACTCCGAAACTCCCTCACCCGGCTCGAAGAGAAAAGTCCATCGCCTGCAGCTTGCCCTCGAGATCTTTCACCTGCGCGGTCTCCTCCCCCAACTCCTCTGTCACTTCCGAGACCTCCGGCCGTGTGACCGTCAAGGGAAGCCACGAGATCTAACAACCCCAGGGAACGGCTCAGTTCAGGTGTTTCGTTGGTTTCGTGGGGTTTCTCAGTTGCCCCTTAGGGACCCAGGACTAAAAGGTGATCACCTTTTGGCACCTCTACTAAAGATAGACCAAAATTGGAAAACCAAGAGGTTAAAAGGCTTTGGGCAACCGAGTCTAGCCCACAATGCTCCCGCGATGGGTGTTTGATGGAAATTGCTCTCTCTCGGGAGGTGGAGGGTGCTGAACTGAGACGTTAACTCCGGGACACACGCGTACCCTCCAAAGACGGTCTTGTTGGTGCCAAAAGGACCGCTCTTCGCTCGCCCGGCCGGGTTTCTTGAAATCACCTCGTGAGTGGCTCGGCATGCGGCATGGCCAATTTCAAACCAGTTCTTTGGTCTCAGAGGATCCCGAGCCCACCAACAGGGATCCTTACATTGTACACCTGAACATTGCCTTGTAAATAGTCGTGCCCCTTCATCTCGGCGGAAAAAGCCATGTTTCAAATGGTTGCAAGATGTATCTTTTGAGGAGCCCTGACCAAAAAAAAAAAAAAAAACGGGGTAACATGGATGAGGCACAAAAATGGCGACCCCCGAAGTGTGGGGTGTTCTTCGGCTTCCTTGAGCCAACCAAAAAGGGGCGCCTGGACAAAGGCGCCGGGACACAAAAACCACTCAGCCCGACACATGAGCTGGGCTGCTTCAGTTCGCCCGGGCGAAGTGGGTGTGCCATGTGAGGGGTGGGAGGTGTCCCCAAAAAAACTCCTTCAAAGCCTAGTAGCCAAGCCCACCAGTCCCAAATCGAGCACCCAACAAAAACTCCTTCAAACCCAAGAGACAACCCCACCCAGTCCCCGTTTCCGGAACCCAAGTAATGAGACACCCCCACCAAAAATCCCAAAACATATCGAATCGCGCGTGGGTTTCGCCACGCGGCCCCACCAAAAATCCAAAAAAATCCGAAAAACAAATCGCCGCACCGTGGGTGTCGCCTTTTGCTCGGCATCCTCCTTCTCTGCGTGGTAGGTCTTCTGCAGGCCCCGCAGCTCGGAGGTTTGGACCTGCAGCCTCGCATCGAACCGCTCGGTTTCGTCCTTCGGTTTCACCGCTTGTCGCCGGATCTGGGCGCCTCGTGGTTTTTGTTTCTTTCTTCAGTGGGTCGGGGCAGTTCCTTTTTGAGGCCGCCTCGTCTTGTTTGGATTGGTTGACTTCAAGGGGTCACAAAAAATAAAATAAAAATGCTTAAAAGCGTGTGGGGGGAGTTTTTTTTTTTTGTGAGACACACCCTGGGAAATCGCCTACATGAGTTTCGGTATTGGGATGTGGCTAAATTTGAGAACACTACCAGTCTCAGTCCCTAGGCCCTTCTCTTGGGCTACGTTCAAACCTTGACCATGGCCTGTATTATCTTGGTCAATGTTCAACCCAAAGCCGAGGAATGTTCTGAACAGCCGCAATGCTCCGGATCTGGAGCAAATGTCAGAGATGGACAGCCCTTGTGGATCCAAAAGCACATGGCAAAACAAATCAGGCTCACGTTCATCCATTGCTGGACTACAAGTAAAGCGATATCGAAAGAAGCCGCACCCAGGTAGGTCTATACAATCAGCGTGTGAGTTTAAGCTGGTGGCTGAAAGACTTCTCCCTTGTCCGGGTCGGGCCTAGGAATCGGAGGCGATCACTTGTTGGGACTCGGACAAGGCTCAGGGAAATTTGCAACATCAGGGTTTCCCTGAAAGGTCTGATCAGATGAAAAGTCGATTCGCTGTGCTTGCAATGGAGCTGACCAGCTGAGTTGACTGGCCCACTTGTTGGGCCTTGATCTGACATGATGAGGAACCTGCCCAAAAATCAGGGGGCCCTAAACGGGTTCTGGTGATAACCGGGGTCCGGTCGCGTGCGCCGATGCTCTCGCTGGTGCGGCGTCCTAGCCCATTTTAAAAGAACTGTCACCCACAAAACAAGTAAAGTAACAAGTTTGCCAACCACGTGTGCGTCAAACTGGGGGGGGGACCTCAAACGAATTGGCAGGATTTCCTTGTGGTTGCCCGGTAAACCACCCCCAAAACTCACCTGGACCAGCTAAACAAAAGTAACCAAACTTTTGTCTAAGCCACTAAAATGGCTGCCAATCCCAAAAAAACGTGCTGGCGCGATAGGTAGGGCATGAGGGATTGAACCTTCATGGAAACTACCAGTTGGATGGTATATTTCTCATCCCCTGTATCTCACGCAAATTCAGAAAAAGAAAAAGGTTCCGCCCAAGGCAACACCCACCCCCCCCTCCTCCCCTCCCGGCCCTCCCCCCCCTCCTCCCCCCCGTCTTTTCTTTTCAACCAGCGTTCTTTTCCAAAAACAGTTCTTGCCCTGGGTTTTTGGTTTCCTGAGAAGATTCGGATCCCCGGGTTCAGAATGGAATTGGAAGCTACCCCTAGAAAAAGAAAGAAAAAACAAACACGTCGCGCCGAGGAGCTGCGCGGTCTCCGTCTGAGCCTCCTTGAGCTCGGATTGGAGCTGCTGCACCTGTGGCCCAGTTCTCAGTGGCCGAGCCTTTCTGAACCAAAGCGTCCATTTGCTTCCTCGCCCCCTGGACAAAAATGAGCAACTCTGTCCAGCGGTGATCGATTCCCTTTAAAACCAACAGGGGAACATAGCAAATAGTCTTAAACAAATGGCCCAAACCGAACGAAAAGCCTGGACCCAGTTGCCTTCTCAGACATTCACCACGGAAATGAGCGAACTTTGATCCCGAAAACCGCGGAAGAAGAAGAAAGGCCCAGGCTGGGGGGTCGAAAGGTCGGAAGTTTCAGCGTGGTTCCAATAACATTTCGCCACTTCTGCTTGGCTGGAATTAGGACCCCGGCAAAAAATATCTTTTTTGCCTGGTTAGTGGAAAACAAAGGGAACACCAAAAAAGCAAAAAAGTAAAAAGGGGAACTAATTCTGGGGAAGTCTGGAGGTCCAAACAAGTTGGAAGTTGAGGGGCCTGGGGCCCGGCCCTAGGTCGGAAGTGGGCGTCCTTGATTTTGCAGGACGCAGGGAGGGAGGAAGGTTCAGTGGCAAAATTCCAGAGGCGCCTTCAGGAGCCTTCTGAGAAGCCTCCTGATTGAAGAACTTTGGCAAGCGCTTGTTTCTTCCAACATACCTAGAACCTGCAACGACCATTCACAAATGGTGGGAAACCCCATTTGCATTTTGCTGTTCCAGGTTCCAGGTAAGGAACGTGTTGAACAGCAAACGGTTGAAAAACAACACTGCTTGCAGTTGGTTGGGGAAAATCTCAAATATCTAAGCCCCCCCCCGGCGCTGATTGGTGGATGGTTCATTTGCAACGGGAGTTCCAAACAGGCCCAAACAAGAGCTCGCCTCTGAAAACCCCAAGTAAATCAGTGGGCCTGGTTAAAAGAGAGGGCCGTTTTTGGGGTCAATGCTCACTCAAACCACATCCTTGATCTTCCAGGACCCTGAACAAGCGGGTCTTTGGCTGAGTTTCGAATTGAAGCCAAGAGTTCAAACAAGAAGGCCCCCTCTTTCGCGGGTGCCTGGCAGACATAGGCATAGCCACCTAAAAAAAAGGATAAAAAAAAAGAAAAGGGCGCGAGACTCTCTGGGGCAAACGAAAAAAAGGCTCCCACAGCCGTGTCGAAAACAGGGCAGCCAGTGACAAATGGGAAAAAGGGGGCACTCTCCTTGTTCATAGTTGAAAAAAGGCACCTTTGTTCCGGTATCTATTTGTCTCTAAAGCTGAGCAGCTGTCTTTTTCGGCCGTTGATTTCAAAGGAGAACAACTATGAACAAAAAGTCGAGTAAGCCACCCGCGGTGAGACCGTCTCTTTGGCTTAGGCGACACTCCGGTTAAACCACGCCAAGCCCTCGATCCCTTTTTTGTCGCCTGGCTGCTTTGCCGCCGGACCAGCTCCTGGCGCGCGTAGTTCGGATGCCGATGCCGTCTGCCATACTTCTAGGGGTTGATTCCGTTTCCATTCTTTTCAGACATCGTTCTTTTCAAAAACCGGATCTGTACTCCCAGAGAACATCCCAATCCCTCACCGGATCATGGTGAGAGGGACATGTGCATCATGTGCTTGCTTTCTAGGGGTTGGTTCCCCATTCTTTTAAGCCATCGTACTTTCAAAAACCAGCCATTTCCCAAGATATTGGTGGTGTTCTAGAAAGAAGCATCCCTGGAAAGAATGGGGAAATTAGCCCTAGAATACTGTGGATGGTTGCGAATTTCATTTCGCGCCACCTAAGGAACCCTGGAATGACCAACAAACAACGGTATCTGATGGTTTCAACTTTCAACGTGGCGCAGGATGTTGTCCATCCGCAGTAGTGCAAGTAAACCAACCAGACACCGCGCGGCCGAAGCTACAGGCCAACCACACAACATGATTAAAATTACAGGCAAATCAACCACAAAGCGTACGGCTGAACAGTTACGCTTGGTTCCTTTGTTCCCTACTTACCATATTGAGTTGGCATCCACCGTCCCTCGTTAATCGCTGAGGGCAATCTGCAAGGGGGGGGGTGGAAGGAACAAGTTTCATGATTTCGTGGGTGGCTTTGCCCCTTGAGTTTGTGAAAATAATTAAGGCTGGACACATTTTGCCGAGTGGCCCTGGAGAAAAAGGGGGCCTTGTTTGGCATTCACCACAAAAGCGCACCAAACAGAAGGGGAAGAAGGTGACCCAAAACATAGAAAGAATCAAGAGGGCTGTTGCATCTATTCCTGGTTGGGACTGTCCCCTTACTAGCCTTCGTCTACCAGGGTTTGTACCCGGCAGGGGTCACTGGATTTCCCCAAATCAAAAGTTGATCATCCCTTGAGCTGATCGCCACTTTTGGAGGTTCCAAAAACTGGGCTGTCCTCAGACCCTCTGCTAAAAGTTACACTTTTGGATTAAATGGAAACTACCACTAAACTGAGCTGTCCTCAGATTCCCCGCTAAAAGTGACTAACTTTTAGTGAGCAAAATGGAAAACAAACAACCACTAAGCACTAAAAGGCTGAAAAGATAAGGAACCGGATGGCCTTTTGGAGCCACCGAGTAAACCCTAAACCCCCAGGAACGGACCGCTGGGAACCACCCTTTTCACGTCTGGGCCCTGGCCTTCCAGGAGCAGGATAAGCCATCAGTGAGAGTGGCAGAACCCGAGAAAACGCGAGCACCATCGAAGTTCTGAAGATTTTGGCTTCTAGAGCTAACTTTGGGTAACTTGAAACTGTGCAAAAGTGTTTTTTTTCTGCTAGATTTGGGGTGACTCAACTTGAAAAATGTGCAAAAGTGTTTTTTTCTGCTTGCTTTGGGGTGGCTCAACTTGAAAAATGTGCAAAAGTGTTTTTTTCTGCTTGCTTTGGGGTGGCTCAACTTGAAAAATGTGGAAAGTCGAGCAACAAAAATAAGAAGACAAAGCAAAAGGAAAAGCAGCGCATGTCCAAACTGAGCCCTTGGCAGCTGCCTTAAAGCATTCACCAGCCTATACTAACCGGCGCCTTGACTGGACATCTATCCACAAGAAGCTCTATTCGTCGCTTGAAAGAGAACCTGACGGCGGTTCCCTCTTGAAAGGACCTCCTGGCGGGGTTCCAGGGCAATGTGCACAGTGGGAGGGTAAACCTGCAAATCATAGATGTCAGCTGCAGGAGATTGTGTGGACAATTGCGCATAATTGGCCACATATGATCATCTCCTTTGCACTTCCTGAGGCATAATGTTTAACTCCGGATTAAATGTTGATTCATGGGAGGCTGCCCCCTGTTGGTGGCAATTCGGATGACTTTTGTGGATGAATCCTATTGGTGTTATGGGTTTGTTGATCCCGGGCTCCCAAAAACCAACTTTTGAGTGCCTGGCTGGTGTGTGGAAACCTCCAAATCGATTGTTGCTTTGCTCGTTGCTTTGTGGCAAAACAGACAACGCATTCTCATTTCTCAGTTGCCCAAAAGGAATCTAAAATTAAAGGTCAATCTTTGGGGCCATGACTAACAAATGACAAAGAAGAGAACACTAAAAGGTCAAAAGGTCGATGGCAAGCCACTGCCGCGGCCGCGGCGAGAAAAACGCGCCCCACGATCCTCGTCCAAGAGGCGCCGCTGCCAGAGGTGCCTCAGCAGCGGCACGTGACGAAGCTTTACAACCCTCCACGATACTGGGGGTTGATGACGTGGGGAAGCCATATCAGCTGGGTCCGACTTTCTGGGTCCAAGGCTGGCCCAATTGGAAAAAAAACATTGTTTTTAGTAACCCGCACTAAATCTATGAAAAGAACCAAAACACACACAAACAAAAAACCTAAACACATGCCAATAACAGTGAAGGAAATGAGGAGCGCTCTTTGTCCGGTGTCCCGCAATTTTCCTCACATGGCAGTTTCAAGGAGGTCCACCCACAAATTGCAGAGGGGGCATCCAGTTGTTCCCAGCAGGTTCGTTGTTTTCTTGGCATAGAGAGTTCAAAAAATCATGTTTTTGGTAGGAAACTCCCCACTGGGCTCGGGCAGGAAGACCCAGCGGAAAACTGGGGATGGACGAAATCCTGCACCACCCAAGAAGCCCTGGAATATGATTCCCCTGTAACTATCAACAAACAATGGTTTCCCGTGGTTTCTTAGGTGGTGCAGGATTTCGTCCATCCACAGTACGGCACTACCAGATTCAAACTTTCAAGCCAATGGGGTGGACATTTGGAATGACCATTGGGTCAAAAACCACTACTAGGTTTTCCAGTAGAGAGGAATAAGGGTGCCAACTTTTCTCTCCAGTTGATTTTGGTAGAGGAACCCTCCCCCCAAAAAGGGCAAAAGGGCTACTTGGGGACCTAGACTACTAACAAATGATGCTTCCCACTTACTGGGAAAAAGCTACCCTTCGCCATTTGCAAGAATATTGATCAACCCCCCTTTGGCAATTGTCCTACGGTGCTACATTATTTCCTGTTCCTGGCTTCTACGATTTGTACAAGAAACAAGGCCAGGCACTATCACGGACCGCCCCCCGCCCCCAGCAACTCCCTTTGGCTTTTCCACACAAGTCCCCCCTGTGGCCCGACTTCTCGTCGGTGAAGCATTGCCAAGTTTGGGGGGTGTGCAGGTTCCGTTGACCCCTCAACCCGCCGGCTGCTACCAAAGCGCAGCGTGAAAAGCCCCAGGCCCGCGAACGCCAGAAGCACCGCCAGAACCAACAGCAAGCGCCAGCAGCAGTCCTGGCGAAAAAAAGGCGCTCGCCGAGATGTCCCGCTTGGGCTAGAGCCAGAATTGTGTGTTTTGCCGTGGCCAGACTTTGGCCACCCACCTAAAGTTGACTTTTGGCAAGAAGCCCAACTGGGTGTTCCAGGGCTAAAGGCGCACGGCCAAATAAATTGAAGGGCCTTCCCGTTCATCCCTCACTAGAACTTTTCCACATGCAATCATGCTGGACCCGCTTTGATGCATGGACCTCTTGTTGCTTGTTTGTTCCCAGTTCAGGTTCCGGGGGTTGTTTTCATTGTTTTGGGGCCCTCTATTTTTGAAGGTAGTGCTTCACACCCCCAAACATATTTCGGGAACAAATGCAATCAATACGCAACCAAACAGCAACCCAGATCCCCCCAACCCACCCAGCAAGAGGCTGCAAATGACAGTTGGCAAGTTGGCAGTGTTGAAGGAGGGTCATATCAAAGCAGGTCCAACGTTTCACGGGGGGCCATGTCGATGTTGACGGGAAGTTCCATCCCCCGCGGGGGATGTAAAATAATTCTTTGACCCACGCCCAAAGGGTGATGTGTGAACCATAAATCAGGAAAGCATAAGGACCCCGGGTTCTGGGTCAAAATAGAATCATCAGGGGACCGCAGGCTTTAGCCCCTACACACGGTTTCCATATTGAATACCTGTTTTGAACAAACAACCTCCAAATAGCCCCAAACATGGAGGCCAAAACCATTTGTGGTTCCCTCCAGTTTCCATGGAAGAGGAACAAGCCTCAAACAGGGCTTCAAAGCCTGGCCCGCTTCAACCCCCATAGCAACCCAATGCCTCAGAGGGGGGCCCATAAGAGACTATGATTCCGAATGGGCCAAACCCCAGAAGTGGCTGAAGTCCGAAACGGAACTCGCGGAGTGAGTCATATTGTTCCATATTAATCAACACCAGTTGATTAACAGGGGGGTGCTTATCCCTGGGTTTAGTGGGGAATCATTACTTTTGGAGGACCCCCCTATGAAAAAAACCTGGGGTTGATTCATATGCGGATGGCTCCCTGACTCGGAATCAGGCGCAGCTCCTGTCGCCACGGGGCCACTTTCAGGTCGGTTTTCAGGTCCTTGGTCGACGCGAGACTTGGACAAGCTGGATACCCTCTGTCCAACATGGACGTGGACGACTGCGGGCTTCCTCAAAATTGATTCCCCATGCAGGGAAACAATCTGTCCTGGTCTTGTGTGCCACGTTGAGTGTCTGACCCCGTCCTAGCACAAGCCATAACTAACCCCTACACCAATCGTACAACAAACCTCTAGCCACCCAAACTAACCCTTCACTGACCCCAACCCAAACTTGGGTTCTCAGTTAAAACAGGTTGCCCTCGCATCCTTGTCTTGGTGCAAGCTACGCGTTTATTAGAACCCGCCCCCTACGGATTGGTTCCCTGATGCCAAAACAACCCACACCCCACACCGCGATTCAATGTATCAAGGAGCACTCTGCCAGGACCCGGCAAAAAGGTGAGCACCGTAATTGGGGCCTGTCTAAACATGGACAAGGGGAAGCCAACAAGTGAAAACAGTGAGGGTCAAACATAGTACCCAAAACGAAACCCTGGTAGATGGAAACCAGGACTAAAATGTGCGGTCCCCTGGTGGTTTAATTTTGACCCATACCCAGCTCGATTCCCTTTGGGCAAGTCAAACGTAGCTGCCGAGCACTGGCAACACATTTTGTCGCAGGTTGGTGTGATGCTTGCACTGCCTCATATCCTCCGCCAGGCTGGACTTTGGCGCAGGACGGTCGCCGCGAATTGCTGAAGCAACCTGAGAGTCGCCGCCGCAGGGTTGCCACTCAGACAGCTCCCCCACAAAGGGAAAGGCTCCTCCTCGTTGACCCCCGTCTGCGCTCATCGAGGAGGACAAAGGACAAAGTGTGCCGCACCTTGCAAATGAAGTATCAGGGGCAAGCAGCCGCGCAGAAGAAGAATGAGCAGAACCAGCCCTCCCCCCGCCCCAAAATAAAAAAAGAAAGAAGAAAAGAAAAAGAAACACAACAAACTCCTCCCCCCAGCAAAAAAAAGAAGAAAAAAAACAACTACTGCAGCGCCTGGAGCCCCCATTCACCTTTGGTTTGGCCAACCTTACAAAGTTTTCAACAGGCCTTACTCTAGAAACGAACTAGACGGGGTGGTAGGACCACCAACTACAGAATGGCCAATGAGGGGTTTGGGTGTTGCTCATGTGATGTTTCATCCATTCCCAACCAGAACTAAATCGATTTAAGGGACGCTCCCCCCCCCGCGCGATACACCCAGCCAAACCCTACAGTTTGGATCACATTCCATCCACGAGAAGGGCAAACCATTCTTCGAAAGCTTGATTCAACAACAACTCATGCAAAGAGCTTTCTCTCAACCCAAGGCACCTGGAAATGAAGCTTAACCTTCTGGAAAGGGGATAAGCTACAGTAATGATACTGAGTAAACATATTCAAAGTGGATTGAAGAGGAACAAATGTTTTTAGAGCAACCGTTTTTGTTTTTTTTGGTTAACTTTAGTTGATAGATAAATTTATGTTGATGTGTTTTATCATCTTAATTCCATTATGTTGTCCCATCTGTATCCTCGGTGTTCATCTCAGGTAATTCATATTTCAATCGTCTGATTTCAGAACTGGATCCCCAACCCTGCTGGTCAAAATAGGGAATCCTCGAAGAAGAAAAACGAGTGTTGTTGAAACAACGCCAAGAAGGGCATGTTCAACCCACGCCCCAAATGTTGCAACATCCCCCTACCACCAGGGCGGAAATTCCCAGCCAACCATTTTTCTAGCCTTCCCCATAAAAAGGGGAAATGGCTCACCACAAATGAAGACTCAACAATTGTTCAGGGATCCGGTGGGGGATATTGCAAGGTCCCATCTACCCTCTACAAAGAAGACCGGGTTCAGATCTCCAAGCCACCAATTCAAAGCACCAACCTGACGCCTTACCTGAAAACAGGGAAGGTGCAACTAAAAAACACCCGGACATGTTGCAACTGATCTCTCCAAAGCTGAGCACTCGGCAATGGAGTGCCTTGCCTCTCGCGCGCCCTTGCGCTCCTGGCGCTGTGAAACGCTTGGCTGGTGATTGGACACCTCCGGACTCCATGTCGCTCCTTTGCTTCCATTTGCTTCTGCGCCCCCTGGAAAAATAATAAGCAATACTTGCAGTAGCGATCGATTCCTTTTGAAACGAACAGGAGGAAACAAAGATATTCTTAAACAAAAGGACGGTTGCTGGTTAAGTGGCTAAATGGTCACCCCCTGCTCGCTTGCTCGTCCCTTGAACCCTGAACCCTGCCAGGTTCTTCAGCAAATCGGCGCCACAGAATTGTTATTAAAAAAAGATTTCAAAGTAGAACATCTCCCCTACCTGAAGGGGAGGGGGAGGGGGGTGGGGGTGGGGGGTTCCCCAATCAACCATTTATCCAGTCTTGCCCATGCAAGGGACAATGGCTCAGCTCCAAATGGAGATGACTAGGGGTCGAACTCCCCCGCCCAACTCCACTCTCAAGCGGGACCAGGGGACGAAAACAGCTGGCGACCACCTGCACTTGTGGCCGCTCGCGAACTGGAAGGTCTTAGCAAGTACCGGGACCCATGCGCCTAGATTCTTTCAGGGTTTACCTCCGCTTGCCTCACGGAAATAGAGAGAAACCATGGGAAACCCCCCTCAGAAAAGAGGAACACCTCGCTTCCAAATGACCCTTTAGGTTCCTTTTTGTTTGGTTTGGTTGCCTTTGTGGTAAAGAAACCTTGATTACTTTTCTTGGGTCCATCCACTCGATCGGAAGCGAGGGACAGCAGGATTGAAACATCTTTGAAGAAGCAATGGGTTGCTTATTTTGCTGGATCTGACCTTTTAGCGTCCCCTTCTTGGGTTCCAATGTTTGTCCGGGGCCCCAATAGGTGATCACCTTTCATCTCAGGCGCCTAAAGGTCCGAAACGGATTTCTCAGAAAGTGAGCTCTCCAGTTCACCAGATTCTGGTTCTTGAACAAATTGAATTTCGCAACGCGGCTCCTTTTGTTTCACCTTCCCCGGGCTCGCCGTCGCCGCTTTCGGCACAGCCGGAATGTCAGCTTTCGGCGCCTGGCAAGCGTTCGGAAAGCGCGCGCGCGGGGTGAATGGCGGCCCTGGCTTTCTTGTGTTCGACTCCAGCTTGCCAATAATCTACTAGGTGCGGTGCTGGTGAACGCTAAACTTTTGCTTTGCTTCAAGATATTAATAAAACAAAGAAAAGAAGAAAATCATAACTAAATTATATAATTCCAAAAGTATGTGTTCCCCCTTTTTTTCATCCTATATTTTTATATGTCTGTTCTTCACTGTTTTACCGACTTATAACTGTTTTTCATAGTTGTTTTGCCTTAACAAATATGTAACAAGTTTAACGATTATTTGATATTGAATTATTATTATTTTTTTGGGGTTGATTCCTTGTCCATTCTTTTCAACCATCGTTCTTGTTAAAAACCTGTTTCCCCTGGGGTTCTGATGGTTTTCTGGAAACAAGGATCCCTGGAAAGAATGGGGAAGCGTCCCCTGGAAACAAGGTCTCTTTCCCACCCTTCGAGTGGCAGCAAAAAAGGCTTGTTCTTTTGCGGCCACTGAAAATGAACAGAAGCCAAACACAAAAAACCTGCCAAGAACCGTGAAGGTTTATAAGGCCAACTTCCTCTCAAGGGGGGCCCGGTGGTGGGTTCTCCCTGCCGTCCTTCACTTGGATTCCGACTCTTCCTCCCCTCTCGTGTCCCTTTCGCTAGCTTGCAACTTCCAGGACCTTTAGACCTGGGCTGCCCGTTGTCAGCGCCCCCCCGCATGGTGGCTCGTTACGTGGCCAGTAGTGAAGTCACCACGAACCACGAAGGGTTGGTCAGACGAATTGGTGCAAGGAATGCCCCCAAGTGCTATTCAATGGAAACTACCACTCAACACTCAAAGGCTAAAAGGCTAAGGGGATGGCCGGGAGCCACCAAGAAACAATGAAGCCATTGCCCCTTTCTTTTGGGTAGTGGCCCCCATATTATTATTCAACAGGGTGTTGGAGACTCCAGGTCCACCGAACCCTGCAAAACGAGTTGAACAGCACGGGTGGTTGCCTGTTTCACCCCCGAATCAGTGAAAAGTCTGGGCCAAACTTACGCAAAAAGTGGCCACTGTTTTGCTGGGTGAAAAAGACATGATGGGTTTCCCAAAATTGGAAACCCAAGAGTTCAACAACTCACTTCCTACTTCCTGAGAGGATTGGCCAAACCAAGTCGAACAGTTCGTGTTTTATTATCCAAAAGTGATACCCCCAAGTATAACATCCAGGGAGTGAGACAAAGGCGAGCTGAGCCTTTGTAAAGGTTAGCTAGGTCCTTCAGCAGAGAGGTTAGAATAAGGGAACCCTTTTTCCTGTAGTCTACCTTAGTAGGGGAACCCTCCCCCTACTAAAGGGTAAAAGGGCACTACTGGGGGACCTAGCTAATTTTCTAGCAAGGGATACGCCGGGAATGTCTACGCCCAGCTTGACGCCTCTGGCTGGGAACGGAGCGAAATCTGCAGCAACTCTCTCAAAAGAGCGGAAAATTGGCGCCCGCGAAAAGGAATCCAAGAAAACCGATTACCAATTCAACCTGCCCTCGAGCAGTTTATCATTCTGTGGGCTTGTCTCAAAGTTAGAGTTCCTCCCCTTTCAACAAACACAAAAAGGATACTCCACATGCAGGAACGGCTTGGAACTATCCGGTTTTACCCTCATGTCAAAGTTCGCAGTGGCCCCGTAATTTGGCCTACATCCTTGGACCCCCCTCAAGTAACCCCCCCCGCCCCCCTTCAAGCAACATGAAACTCCTTGTAAGCCCCTTGCAGCCCCCTTGCAAGCAACGAGCCCCATCATTTTATCCGTATTTGATTGTCACCCACAAGTAAAAGAAACAAATCATGGCATCAGGCTTGGATAACCCCCGGAAAAGCCATCACAAGTACCTCACTACGCCACACCTCTTCACTCGCGCCGCGAATTCCTCAACCTGCGGCTTGGCTTAGGATGTTCACCCAACCGAGCACAAACTCCGATCGGCCGGGTGGCTCCGAGAGGCTGTCTGCTCAGCTCGTCACATTCGGATACCGTCCCAGACAGCTCCGTAACGCCTCCCTTCCAACAGCTAGATAGCAACAACCCTCCCAAAAAAACACACACACACAGCCAAACATTGTCAACCCCCCAAATAAAGGTCAACTCTGAATGACCCCGCCTCCGAGTCCGTGTCCGCGTCCGGCTGCGGAGTGCTGAAGGGGCTGCGAACGGCCTTGTGAAACGAATTGGCCCGCGACGAGGCGGCTACACCGCTTACCCCCAAAAAGTATGCTAATTTACTTATGATTATGTATATAAGTGTGTGTGTATGCTATATGTGTATGTATGTATACAGAAATATAATAGATCTATTTTTCATTTTCTTGGAAACACCACATAGACAAGGGGTGCGTTGCCTGCGTGTATTGGTGCGCATAAGCGTCCGTAGCTCCACACAGACCTGCGCTATACACGGCGAACCTAGCACTAAGGCCAATGGGCCAATTGGTGTTCTTGCCAAGGACAAGATCTTGCGACATGACTGCATACAATCGCCATCATTTTTCGCTGCGAGGCTCCAAATGCAGCAAACTGCTCACCGGGGTGAATGCAGGATTTGCCTTCAAAAGGGCAGCTTCCTTTTCATGCTGCAACGTTGCGAAGCACTGCCGAAGTTGCTGCCTTGTTACAGGTGATCCTGCTGTGAGTTGTTTTCTCAGTGGCGCCAAGGAGCTTCAGGGTAATCCTCCCGATAGACCCGAGGTTGCATCCATTCCATTTGATCCCTGAATCTTCAACAAGGAATCTCTTGGCAGCTCCTTTTGGAAGAATGGCACAATTTCCTTGGAGGCAGCAATCCCTTGTGCATCCCTAGCATCGCGCAGGAGCTTTTCGGCTTCGTCTTCTTCATTCAAAAGCAGGGGCACCTTCTGCATCGCTGGCAAACATCCGGGCTAAACATCCGTCACAAACGTTCCCCCCGCAACAACGCGCCATTTGTCCAACCGCCCAAGCCTTTGCCGGCAAGCCATTTTCTGCGCCTGGGTCCTTGCCATTCTTTGTAATGTGGGTCGAAAATTCATATACATACATACATACATACATACATACATACATACATTACATACATACATACATACATACATACATACATACATACATACATACATACATACATTACATACATACATACATACATACATACATACATACATACATACATACATACATACATACATACATACATACATACATACATACATACATACATACATACATACATACATACATACATACATACATACATACATACATACATACATACATACATACATACATACATACATACATACATACATACATACATACATACATACATACATACATACATACATACATACATACA